AGGCCTTCTTTCTTCAGAATTACTGAATGACTCCTTCCTGGAATGCTGCTAAATTGTTTTTCATTTATTACCTTAATAATAATATTGAACATTTATCGATCACTGATGTGCCCTGGCACTGTGGTAGATGCCTTATCGTTACACCTTTAAGTCTTATAGTGGCCTGCAGGCAGGTTTTATTATATCCTCATTTTACAAATGAGGTAAATAGAATGGCTTAGAGACTCAGAGAGCTTGTATCTTGTCCATGTCCACATATCTTATAAGCAAATGAGTGTATTTAAAGCCAGATCTCTCCTAAAGCCCAGTTCTTTCAGTTCCCTCAGTTTGCCATTGAGTAAACAGGAAAATCAGACTCACTCTCATCAGGTGCTGCACGCACACTCTGGAATTCCTTTTGAGTGCGGACAGAAATACCATTATATGTTTCTCTACGTCTAGTCCCAGACATTAATTTGCCTGTTTGATTTAAGTTAGTGACCATCTCTGTTAAAGTCTTTAACTCCATTAAAAGTGAATGGAACTTTAGGAGAGTTTTAGGCAGGAGAGGAAGCTCCCCTTCTCTCCAGTTTGGGCTTCGATTGTCCAGAAGTAGAGAAGAGGGATGAGATATTATTTGAGATAACCCCTTCAAGAACCACAGCTTAGCAAAGCATTTACACCATTTTGTTGGAAATATATCTAAACTATATTATAAAATTAGCTGGCTGTTGTGGCACATGTCTGTAGTCCTAGCTACGTGGGAGGCTGAGGCAGGAGAATTGCTTGAGCCTAGGAGTCTGAGTATGCAGTGAACCGTGATGGTGCCACTGCACCCTAGCCTAGGCGACAAAGTGAGGCCCTATCTCTAAAATAAATTTATTTTATTCTAAAATAATTCTAAATACATTCTTCTCATCATATTGTTACATTGATGATCTTAAAGTTGATTGAGAAGTAGCTGAAACTGGCTTCTACAAAGTACTCTCACGAGGTTCTGAATTTTGAGGTCATCTTTCTTTGTGTCATGTTTGTTAGATGTCCTTTCTCAGAGTAAATCGAGTTTGAATAAGACCTGCAGGGATTTCTTGTGAGCACCTATATTGAGTTTTAGTGCATAAACTTTGTTTTAACTTTTCACTGGGTAGATGAACTGTCAGATAAGTGGCATTATGTGTAACATATATTTTCCCCTATTTTTAAACAGAGAAGAAGATACAGAAAATGAAAATGAAAAGAAAATTTGGTACTACAGCACAAAGGTCCAGCTTGCAGAATTAATTGACTGTCTAGACAAAGATTATTGGGAAGCAGAACTCTGCAAAATTCTAGAAGAAATGCGTGAAGAAATCCACCGACACATGGACATAACTGAAGACCTGACCAATAAGGCTCGGGGCAGTAACAAATCCTTTCTGGCGGCAGCTAATGGTGAGAGGGGCATTTTCTCATTTTATTTTTGTTAAGTCTGAGCTAAACTATTGGTATGAAATCACTGCAAAATTTGAAAATAAAGTTTTCAAGAACAGTTATGCATTGCTTAATGATGGGGATACATTCTGAAAAATGTGTCATTTGGCAATGTCATCATTGTGTGAACATCACAGAGTACACTTACACAAACCATACACCTAAGTTATATGGCATAGCCTATTGCTGCCAGACTGCAAACCTGTACGTCATGTGACTGTCCTGAATCCCATAGGCAGTTGTAGCACAATGGCAGGTATTTATGTATCTAAGCATATCTAAACATTTAAAAAGGTAATACATATAATCTTATGGGATCACCGTCATGTATGTGGTTCCTGGTGGACGGAAACATTGTGCAGTGCATGACTGTGTATATTTTACTTTTGTTCTCCGTATTTCATTTTCCCAAGAGAACCTTGTTCATTCCCACATAAATTAGGGATGCTATACATTTGAGTGTTTTATTTCTGCCTTGGGTCATTACTAATATTCCCTAAAATGTTAGTTTGTTTCTTTAATTCAAGTGTCTTATTAAACTTCTTTGACATTCCAGTTTTTAATTTTAAGAAATAATATTCTTTTTGAACTTTTTGCCTTTCTAAAAAATAGAACTTTGAATTTTAGAAAAGTTTTAGATTTATACAAAAGTTGCAAAGATAGTAAAGGGTTTCCATATATCCTACACTTGGTTGCCCCTGTTATTAACATCTTAGATTAGTGTGGGATATTTGTTACAACTAATGGACCAGTATTGATACACTGTTACTAACTCAAGTCCATACTTTATTCAAATTTCTTTAGTTTTTGCCTGATGTCCTTCTTCTGCCTCATGATCCTATACCACGTGATATTTAGTCATCATGTTTTCCTCCGGATTGTCGGTTTCTCAGACGGTCCTTGTTTTTGATGGCCTTGACAGTTTGGGGGAGTACTGATTAGGTATTTTGTAGAAAGTCCTCATTATGGGTTTTTCTCATGGTTAGCCTAGGTTTTTGCATTTTGGGGAGGAAGACCACAGAGGTGAAGTACAATTCTCATCTTCTTATCAAGAGTGCATGCTGTCCTCGTGACTTACCACTGATGATGTCAACCTTGGTCCCCTGGTTGAGGCAGTGCTTGTCAGGTTTCTCCACATCCTCCCCCATCCCTTCAACCCCCCAATACTGTACTTTCTGGAAGCAAGTCACTGTAAACAGCCACACTTAGGGAGTGGGGAGTTATGTTCTACCTTCTTGAAGGGACAATATCTACATCAATTATTTGGAATTTTTCTGCACAGATTTGTTTATTCATTTAGTTTTTCAGCATTTATTTCTATGAGTATACATTCATGGATATTTTATACTTACTGGATTATAACTGGATATTTATTAGGTCATAATTCAATGTCACCTTACTTACTTTGTTACTCAACTCTTTATTTTTTTAAGTTATAAATACATACATGTCTCAAAAGTTTAAATAGTATAAAGGGTATGCTGTTGTCTCAAAAGTTTAAATAGTATAAAGGGTATGCTGTGAAAAATGAATCTGTCTCCTTCATAATCTCCAATCTGACCTTCCTTTCTCCGGAGGCAATCACTATTGCTATATATTTTTTTGTGCCGCCAGATGTATTCTGTGCATGTTTAATAAATACTACCTGTGTTTAATATAGCCATCACTCAGTATTCTCAAGGATTGCTTCCAGAGCCCTCTGCAGATAGCAAAATCCGTGGATGCCCAAGTCCTGCAGTTGGCCATGTGGAATCTGCTGATATGAAAAGTTGGCATTCCATATCCAAGGGTTCTGCATCCTGAGAATACTGTATTTTCAATTTGAGGTTGGTTGAATCCAAGGATGCAGAACCTTTGGCCACAGAGGGCCGACTGTAGTACCTTTTCAGTTTTCGCTTAGATAAAATTATTAGGTAAGATTCTGCAAGTACACTTTTAAGTGCCTGATTCTGAGTTCTGTTCTTCTGCATGCATTATCTGCTATACGTATAATCCTATTAATTTTCCCCATTCTCCATTTGCTTAAAAATATAATGTTTATATTTAATAAAGATACCCAGATAGCTGTATCCAAGCTTGTTCTCACATATTCTGCATCAATATTCCTGTGAATTCATGCATATTTTTGGAGAATGATAGGCTCTCACATATAAATACTCTTTGGCGCAAATATACTTTGTCTTCAGAAAAAAGCATTCTTAGTTATCATGAATTATATTTATTCATATCTGGTAGTTGAAAGTATTTCTCTGTTAGATCTGTTTAGGAAAATGTGTAGTTTTTTTATTAGAAAACTTTTAGTATTCAGAAGTCTTTGGGAGATCAGTAATTGCAGTAACACAATCTCCGCCTTAGTCTCCCTTCCATATAGATCAAATCATAGGAAATTTTATTAATTTCAGCCAGCTCACTTCCCCCCTTAATTTCCTTTTGTGACTCATGGCATTAAAATAGACCAATCCCTTTTTGCTCTCCTGTGTTTTAGTACAACAATGGAGAACCATCTTCAGTCCCCTGAAAGGCAGTGTGAGATAGGATTTTATAAAGTACGTTGAATTAAAATATTTTCCAGAATAAAAAATAAAAATGGAAAAAAACAAAAAATATATTTTCTGTGTATTAAATTATATATACAGTATAATCATAATTAAAGAAAAAAATCAAAACAGGAATGGATAATCAAGTGTTCAGTGGTTTGATTTGGGGGAATGTAAAAACCTAAAAATGTTAATATAGGGGAATTGATAAATTTCATTATGAAGTATCATGTGATAGAACACTACGTGTTGGAGAGTTAAGTAAAGTACCATGCAAAAACTGTGTGAGATACTTAAATTCTCTTCCTCTAAATAACCAACTGGATTAGGTTTTATCATTAAAAAAATAACCAATTAGCATAGTAAAATTGTAGTTGGTTTCCTTTTCGTATTTTTTGCATTTCCTACAATAAGCATGTTATAGTTCAGTATAATTCAGCATGTAATGTACTTTTAAAAATTAGTTAAACCGGCAGGGCACAGTGGCTCACGCCTGTAATCCTAGCACTTTGGGAGACTGAGGCGGGCAGATCATGAGGTCAGGAGATCGAGACCATCCTGGCTAACATGAAACCCTGTCTCTACTAAAAGTACAAACAAACAAAAAAAATTAGCCAGGCGTGGTAGCAGGCACCTGTAGTTCCAGCTACTTGGAAGCCTGAGGCAGGAGAATGGTGTGAATCCGGGAGGCAGAGCTCGTAGTGAGCCACTGCACTCCAGCCTGGGTTACAGAGCGAGACTCTGTCTTAAAAAACAAAACAAAACAAAACAAAACCCACTTAGTTAAACGTTTTATAGTAATGGAGAACAACATAGAGAGCATCGAGCTTTAGGCCACAATATGTTCTTAGAAAGTTAGATGAGTAAAATTTGTGTGCTGTGAGATTGCCTTGCAACCTGCAGTTATCCTCTTAGTACTACATGGAGTACATGGAAATAAGGTGAGTTGTACCTTGGGTTTAATGGTGAGATCTGGACCCCAACAATGACATAAATATTTTTTTCTTTCTTTCCTTTTTTTTTTTGGCTAAGGTACAACATCAACCTGGTACTAGAGGAGGAGGGGAGGGATTCATGAGAATTGAAAATTGTTGGGGAAGAGAAGGGGACACTGACATTTTTGAGTGCCTACTGTGGGCCAGGTGCTCAACTAGGTGTTTTACAATTCTTTAATCCTCTCAGCACCTTTTTTTTTTCTTTTTTCTTTTCTCTTTTTTGAGACGGAGTCTTGCTCTGTTGCCCAGGCTGAAGTGCAGTGGCGCGATCTCCACTCACTGCAAGCTCCGCCTCCTGGGTTCCCGCCATTCTCCTGCCTCAGTCTCCCGTGTAGCTGGGACTACAGGCGCCCGCCACCGTGCCCGGCTAATTTTTGTATTTTTAGTAGAGACAGGGTTTCACCGTGTTAGCCAGGATGGTCTCGATCTCTTGACCTCGTGATCCGCCCGTCTCGGCCTCCGAAAGTGCTGGGATTACAGGCGTGAGCCACGGCGCCCGGCCCCAGCACCTTTTTAAGGAGTGTATTGTTAATGAATTGAACATTCAAATAGAAGAATTCCCCATTAAAACACCAGTCCACCACTGTTAACCTTTATTTGCTTTCTCTGGTAACCAAAATCTTGGCTATGATAGTCAGTTTAGGACCACCCAGTCCAGGTAAATACCCAAAATAATATATAATAAAGCTCTTTAACTTTTGGTTTTATGAGATGAAAACAATGGAAACCACTGGGGTTCTGATAATGGCCAAAAATAATTTACAGCATAACAGGAATTTCAGAATTGTAGCCTGTCCTGATGACTTTGACTTGATGTTAACCTCTCAAACAAAATACTTCATTTCTAATATATAACTCTCTGGTTTTTATACAAACACATGTGTCTACCTTAGGATAGTTTAATTCTATTTTTGATAGTTCAATTTTTCTTCTCCATTTTTCCTCAATATTTTACGAAAAATTTCAAATGTACAGAAAGGTTGAAAGAATTATACAGTTACCAGCCTGATCAACATGGCAAAACCCCGTCTCTACTAAAAATACAAAAATTAACTGGGCCTGGTGGCACACGCCTGCAATCCCAGCTACTTGGGAAGCTGAGGCAGAAGAATCGCTTGAACTCAGAGGTGGAGATTGCAGTGAGCTGAGATTGTGCCACTGCCCTCCAGCCTGGGCAACAGAGTGAGACTTTGTCTCAAAAAAAAAAGAAAAGAAAAAAAAGAATGATACAGTAAATACTCATATATTCATTGTCTAGATCTATACTTTATATATTTGTAGCTAAATATACAGCTTACTATATTTGCTTTATCCTGTGCCTGTATGGTAATTATGAAGTGCTTTATTTTGCTTATTTGAAGGAAGCTTATTTTTAGAAGAATTTTTTCTAAGTAGAGATGGCTTCTAAAATCTGGTAGGTTAATTCTTTATTTAGTTTTGAAAAATGTTCATGCAAAGTGTAGAATATACTTGTTTATAGAATATGCATATTTAGTATAGATGAGATACAATGTAATTTTCTTTCATCCTTTAATGTTTTTCTCTGCTGAACATTTTGGGTCTGTTTTTATTTTTTGTTGTTGTTGTTGTTTTGTTTTTGTTTTTCTGAGACAGAGTCTCGCTCTGTCACCCAGGCCGGAGTGCAGCGGCATGATCTCGGCTCACTGCAACCTCTGTCTCTTAGGTTCAAGCAATTCTCTTGTCTCAGCCTCCCAAGTAGCTGGGATTACAGGCGTGTGCCACCATGCCTGGCTAATTTTTGTATTTTATGTAGAGACGGGGTTTCACTATGTTAGGCTGGTCTCAAACTTCTAGCCTCAAGTGATTCACCTGCCTTGGCCTCCCGAAGTGCTGGGATTACCGGTGTGAGCCACTGCGCTCGGCCCTATTTTTGGTCTATTTTTCTTACAGCTATGATTGCCATACTTTTTGAACCTGAAGCTAGTGTGAATGTGTGTATGTATATACACATATATACATATACACATTTATACAAGAGTGTTTAACAATACAGACTGTTTGAAATTAGAATCTTTATAGAAAATCAGAGAACTATGGTTATGCAACTTGTGTTTTTCAACCAATTTAAATGGTCTAAACTTAGTAGGCAATTAAAACAATTTTGTTGGTTTTATTTTCATTAAATATCACTGGGAAAGTAGGAAGGATGTACAATGATTTGGTTATGAAAAGCTATAGGGTGTAGTTATGTTTCAAAGACAGCCAGGCGTGGTGGCTCATGCCAGTAATCCTAGCACTTTGAGATGGGTGGATCACTTGAGGTCAGGTGTTTGAGACCAGCGTGGCCAACATAGTGAAACCCATCTCTACTAAAAATACAAAATTAGCCAGGTGTGGTGGTACATGCCTATAGTCCCAGCTACTTGGGAGGCTGAGGTGGGAGAATCACTTGAACCCAGGAGGCGGAGGTTGCAGTGAGTCGAGATCGCACCACCACACTCCAGACTGGGCAACAGAGTGAGACTCTGTCTCAAAAAAAAAAAAAAAGAAAGAAAGAAAAAGGAAATCTGTTCCTCTAAGAAAGACAGATAATCGGTAACTACATTTTCTTTTTCCAAATAAAACGTTCTTTAAAATATAGTAATTAAGGGCTGGGCACTGCTCATGCCTGTAATCTTAGTGCTTTGGTAGGCCGAGGCAGGGGGAGTTCAAGATCAGCCTGGGTAACATAATGAGACTCCATCTCTATTTTTAAAAAGTTTAAAAAATTAGCCAGGTGTGGTGGCACGTACCTCTATTTCCGTCTATTTCGGAGGCTGAGGTGGGCGGATCACCTGAGGTCGGGAGTTCAAGACCAGCCTGGCCAACATGGTGAAACCCCATCTCTACTAAAAATACAAAAATTAGGCGGGTATGGTGGCAGGTGCCTGTAATCCCAGCTACTTGGGAGGCAGAGGCAGGAGAATCGCTTGAACCTGGGAGGCAGAGGTTGCAGTGAGCCAGGATTGCGCCATTGCACTCCAGCCTGGGTGACAAGAACAAAACTCTGTCTCAAAAAAAAGAAAAGAAAAAGAAAAACTGTGTTTCTTCTTATTCACAAATAGTGTACTCTAGTTGGTAAATTTATTTTTATGAGGAAACAGTTTAGCAATTCCGAAACTATTTTACTGTGTGTACTAGGAATGAACAAATAACTAGATATATAATAATGTGAGCCAGATTTCTCACTGTCAGAGAAGTTACAAATAAGCAAGTGGCAATGGTAAATGAATCCTACACAGACACATAGGCTTTCAGTCATACACGTATGTGTCCACACAAATAAATACAGAAATAATATAGATGTGTATATTTATGACTGCATTTCTTAGCTCTGTTGGCCGAGAGACTCTAGAATAGCAACACCCCAGTAGTAACAAGCACACCAAGCACCTAGATTGTGACTTGTCACATCATTCTCCAATTTGTTCTTCAAAAAAGAACAAGGTGTCCTTGGAGAGATGGTGAGTTGTAGGGCTAGGGCAGGGAAAATACAAGGTGAGCCTAGAGCATCTTGTAATACCGGAAAGTGAGAAAATGCTGGCTGGCTGGATGGCTGGATGGATGGATGGATGAATATGTGTCAAAAGGACACTGGACTCGGAAAAAGTCCCCACTGGCCAAAGCTGAAACAATTTGTGCAACAAAATTAAAAGTGATAGTATTGCATGATAAACCAAAGAATGTAATTAATATCCATGAGTCCATACTGATACACCGTGTGTTCTGTACACTGTGGTCCTTTTCTATCCCATGGCCTATAATGTGCCATAGTATCACTCTATCTAAGTTGAAAGAGGGTAAGTGTACTTAGAGACTTAGTGACTTTCGGAACAGTTAAGGGACTTCAGAAAGAAAGTTGTTTCCAAAAGGGCCTCTGTTTTCTCTTCTTACAATTGAGGAAATGATGGCCTGGAGAGGTTAGGTAGCTCACCCAAAGTCACACAGCTAATCCAAGTCAGATTTACAGTGGGTTTTGGGTTTCTAGGTTTTGATCACTGCAGTGTGCTGCCCAGACTGTGGGTCTATGTCAGCTCGTAGTTTTTGTCGTCTGTCACAAATATCTATATCAAGCCTATATTTTAAAAAGATAGACTAATTTTACTTTTTTTTTTAAAAAAAGTAGAGCCCATAATTAGCATGTATTTTCTAGAGGTGAAGGTACACCAAATTGATTGAATTCTGTAAACACAATTTTGTTTGTAATCTTGATTCTTATTTCATAGATCTAATGCTTTAAAAGTACTTAATTTTTCCTCCTTAATAACTTGTATTGAAACTCTTAAGTGACATTTGTGGTACTGTTCTGTTTGGTTATATATGGGAATGATTTTTTTGTTTGTTTTACACATTATAGAAGAAATTTTGGAATCCATAAGAGTCAAAAAGGGAGACATTGATAATGTTAAAAGCCCAGAAGAAACAGAAAAAGACAAGAATGAGACTGAGAATGACTCTAAAGATGCTGAGAAAAGTAGAGAAGAATTTGAAGATCAGTCCCTTGAAAAAGACAGTGACGACAAAACACCAGACGATGACCCTGAGCAAGGAAAATCTGAGGGTAAAAAAATTACTTGATTAAAAAGAAATATTTCATCAGTGTTATTTATGAAACCTCCAGTTTTACTTGCAAAATGAAAGTGAAATATTGTAAGCAACTACCTAGTTTAATATTTCTAAAGAGATCAGGATACCATCCCCTCTTGTAACGTGTAACAATTGTAGTGAGTTTTACGTATTAGTGAATTTGCTATAATGTTATATTCATGTCTCTATACTTCCCATTAGTTTGCCATTTCCCTATGAAAAAGTACTATTTTTTATATTATACCAGAATATACGCTTTTGAATGTGATGAAATATGTTCATTTTTATAGTAATTAGTTAAGCATTCTTAATATATTATTAAGTATTCTTAAATACTCTCTGGATTACCTATTGCAGCAATATCTGAGAATCTAATTGCTTTAAAATGGCCATCCAACGGAAACAGGATTTTTGGTGATTGATCATTTAGTAGTTGACTGAATGTGGCCATATGCCCTGAAACAATTTTAAAGAATATCTTTAAAGTTTTGTTGTGCATTTTGCTGTAGAGCCAACAGAAGTTGGGGATAAAGGTAACTCTGTGTCAGCAAATCTTGGCGACAACACAACAAATGCATCTTCAGAAGAGACTAGTCCCTCTGAAGGGAGGAGCCCCGTGGGGTGTCTCTCAGAAACCCCTGATAGCAGCAACATGGCAGAGAAGAAGGTGGCATCTGAGCTCCCCCAGGATGTGCCAGGTACAGAGGGCAGCGTATCAATGCCTCTGTAATGGGGGGAATCCTTCCCTTTTGTAGTAAAAGCCGAATGTCACCTAAAACTTTAAACTATGTGTTCATTCATGCTGCTTGCTTACAGTGCCATCCCTGTTTGCTAAGTTGTCACCTAACATTTGGAGTTTGATAAATGTCCTCGCAGTTAGTGCTTGAAACTCATCATAATTTTCATGCTTCTTAAACTTCATTTAGCTGGTTTTGTTTAATAGATTTATTTTTATATTTTATCACCAGACCATAGTGGCAGATATTTTGGTTTTAATTACTTATGTACTAATGGCTCAATGTTGAATGATCTGACCTTTCCAGTTCTGTAGATACTAACAAATTAATTTTATGTTTGCATGTGCTCGTGTAATATAACATTTCAAATCGTAGTGTTATGGTAGAAAATCATTATCACAGAACATTGTTGTCAGATATATTTTGACATAAAAATGTAAGTTGACCAGTAATTCACATTTTCAGTTTTTGAAATTAAAGTTATACTCCAAGTAAGTTGTAGCACACCAAGAATGTCCTGTTGCATAACATGAAGGATTTTGACAACCTGCAGTTCTTATGGGGACGACTTCCATTTGAGTACTGGTCAACAGTGAGCTGTGTTGCTGAAAACACCAGTTTAACAGGGCGCTACAGATAGGGATGTAAGTGTAAGCTCCAGAAGAACCACAGCAATCAGCAGTAAGTTCACCGTATTTTATACTGATGAGAGATTGGTCATTAAGATCAAGAACAGGGCCACGTAT